TTCCACCCACTGGCCTGTGATCTTCCTGCATTCAGTATCATTGCATGTGTTTCCTGAGTCTGAAGAGGAATTCATAGATTGGTATAGGACATATGGGCTAATATCAGATTTACAGACTTGATCTGGACTGGCCTGGGATGTTTTCTCAATATTCAATTGTTCTTGTATATAAAGTTCTTTCTTATACACATATGAGTGTCTCCCAGGATTTGCTTCTCTAGTCTACCCAGACTAACACATCAAGGAAATATGAAAATAGGAACTTAGGACAAATTACTTAACCTCTGTAAGCTTCAGTGTCCTCAAGACTAAAGTGCAGATAATAATAGTACTCACCTCTCATGAGGATTCAATTCAGATCATGCAATGTAAAGTGCCTAACAGGACCTGGCAAAGAGTAGGCACTTAGCCAGTGGTAGCTATAATTATTGTTCTGTTAATAACAATAGTAAAATCTGTAATAAGATAAGAATGATATAAGTGCCATGGAAGTTTACAGTCAGCGCATTTCTTCATAAGCTCTAAACACTTCCAACTGGTTTCCCAGGCCCTAGGAAAACATTAGACCTCCTGCAAAGACGTCGTATCACAGATGTGTGCCACGAGCCACAAGATTCATCAGCCAGTGTGGGCGTGCAGACCCTAGAGCAGTCTCGCAGAGAGAGAACAGTGCTCAAGTGCAAAGTCCCAAGACTTTAACCCCATCCTCTGCCCATCCTCTGACCCCTGCAAAGCTTGGTCTACGTTGGGGTTCCCTGGCAAGATGCCCAAACTGCATCCTGGGCTCTTGCTCCTCCAGTCACCTGGGGCAGGTGGGGAGGCTCCATGCGTATGTTAGAGACCAGCCAAGACCAGGTTCTGCGGCTGGTCTCACTCAGTACAACTAGGGGTAAGGGGACTGGGAGGTGCAGAACCATTTTCTCAGCTAGGACGTTATGTGGGGTGTTGACAAGTTCTCACTTTAACCAGAAAACTGTTCTCTGAGTCTTCAAAAAGCACAACTCTGACCTTCTCTCAAAGCAAACACAGCCCCTGTCAACAGCCAGCTGCCCATGCTGGTGAAAACCAAAGGGAATCTCCACCAAGTTCAGTCAGCCTGACCAAGGGGTCAGCAACACCCAAGGCATTTCTAAGCATAAGTTTAGTGGAATTTGATGGGGCTTCGGGGTTATTTTTCTTCTTGTCAAAAGTGCTCAATCATCTGTCACAACCCAGGGTACATCCCCCTGTGGAATTCCCTTCTCTGAAGATTTCAAAAAAGAAAATACAGTCAATCTCATCAGTCGGCCATAATGTAGCATAAACTCCAGAGTTCGGGATTCCTCGCAGTTCCTCCACCTACAAAAACAACATGTTCCAGATGGGCTCAGGTGGCCCCAATTTCTGGACCCCTCTGAACCCAGAAGAACACTTGTCAAAGAAGGCTCCTGACTTTGCTGGTGGATGTATAATTTGGACATCCACATGGGAAAAAGGCCTGGCAGTTTCTCATACAGTCAACATACTCCTACCTATGATCCAGGTACTCTAATCCTAGAAATTTACCCACAAGCAATATCAACATATGTCCACCGAAAAAAAATGTGTGCACAAATGTTCCTAAGAGTCTTGTTCACTGAAGACAAAGCGGGTGCATAAGCAAGTGTGGTGAAGAAAGCTGAGGGTGCCCGGCTACCAAAAGATATAGCATCTGAGGTCTTAAAGGCTTGAAGGTAAATAAGCAGCCATCTAGCTCAGAAGCAACAAAGCCCACATGGAAGAAGCACACCAGCCTGTGTGATCATGAGGTGTTGATGGGATCAGCTATCACGCATTAAAGAACAAAATATCATATCATTATGAATGAGGGGGAGTGAGGAGTGGGCACCCAAAGCCCATCTGTAGGCAAGTGGACATCCCCTTACAGAAGGGTGGCGGGCAAGAGACGAGCCAGTCAGGGTGTAGTATCGTAACCATGAAACATACAACTTTCCTCTAGTTCTTTAATGCTTCCTCCCTCCCACTATCATGATCCCAATTCTACCTCACAAATCTGGCTAGACCAGAGCATGTACACTGGTACAGATAGGAACTGGAAACACAGGGAATCCAGCACAGGTGAACCCCTCATGACCAGTGGTGTGAGTGGCAATACTGGGAGGGTGGAGGAAGGTGGGGTAGAAAGGGTGAACTGATCACAAGGATGTACATATAACCCCCTCCCTGGGGGACGGACAACAGAAAAGTGGGGAAGGGAGCCATCGGACAGTGTAAGACATGACAATAATAATAATTTATAAATTATCAAGGGTTCATGAGGGAGGTGCATGGGGAGCGAGAGGAAAAATGAGGATCTGATACCAAGGGCTCAAGTAGAAAGAAAATGCTTTGAGAATGATGATGGCAACAAATATACAAATGTGCTTGACACATGGATAGATGGATGGATTGTGATAAGAGTTGCATGAGTCCCCAATAAAATTATTTTTTTAAAAAGAGTTGTTCGGAACAGTTGGAAAACTGGGGCTGATCCACGTGCCCAGTAGTAGGGAACTATATTAATTAGTTGTGGAACAGACAGATTCTGGGATATGACTCAGTGACAAATGTACTAATGCCTCACAACATGGATAGCTAAATCTCAAAAACAAGCCACGTAAAAGGAATAGGCACCAAAGAGTTCATACTGCGTAATTCCATTGATATGCAGTTGAAGAACAGGCAAAAGTAACCTGAGGAAAGAAAAAAAATCCCAACAACGGTCACCACTGTGAGGCAAACACCGGTATGGACTATGAGTGGGCATTCGGGGACTGTCTGGATGATGTCGTGTTCTCTATCTTTGATAGGGGCTGGGGTGACACAGGTGCATGCATCTGTCAAAACAGTATGCAAATGTTACTCTCGAGATTTATGCACTTCCCTATAGGTACATAAATTTTACCTTTAAAAAAGCATGAACATATATGAAACGCTAAGTAACATGTACCAAAATGCTTACGAGTGGCACATACCAGTGTCTGTCATTTATTTAAAAATACATGAAACAAGGAGCTGAGCGATGAATGGCTATATAGACAAATGTGTGATGAAGGTAATAGAGCAAATTGTTCACCGTAAATGCTGGGAAGTGGCCCATGGACTTGCAACTCAGCTATAGGTTCAACATTTTTTCCCAAAACAAGCCATGGGAGTTGCTGCGGGGAGAAGAGTCACAGTCCCCTCTCCTTAGCCCATCCAGTCAGAAGGCTGGCAAAGCAACGATGCCCACCAAGCCACGGGCCCAGAGAGCGTCCACACTGCTGAACAGAGAAGACTGGAAGAACAAAAGTAGCTTGACAGGAACTCACATCCTTCATGCCGAAGATTTTCTGCTTGTTTCCCTACAGACAAAGCAGTTTTTTGACTGTAAGCCAAAAATCCCTGCTCGAGAAGAACTCACTGACTTGTATTCCCAGTTTATGCTGTTTGAATTCTTGCATCGAATCCATTAGCGAACTGCACACACTCCATCCACTTCAGATTGCCCCCATGTCCACGAACAAAGAAAAACACAGCCAGGCACTCCAAACACAAATGCATCGGGAAGATGAGGACCCCAGCTCTGGGGCTTGGATTATGCAGGCCGGCCAGGAACCCCACTGGAGACAAATGAGGATGCGGAGCTCAATCTGAGGTTAAAGTGATTTCACTAAGGTTAGAGCACACACACCCAAGAGCCCAAATAGCTTGCTGCTTAACTTCTCTACGGGATTTAGTGGCATGTGGGGTCATTTGAACTCGGTAACAAATTCAGCTGTACAAATTAGACATCTTGGCAGCCTGGGACACGTGGGGTGAAGAGAGAGTCCTACCCACAAGCCCTGCAGTGACTTGCTTGCATTTAGCCCCGCTTCCTTCCTGCTGAGGCCGCACTTAGCCTGAGATGACACCCGTGGCGGGGCTGGAAGATGCCTCGCCTGAGTCTGAGCCCAGCGTCCGAAAACAGCTGTAATGATTACAAGAAGGGTTTGTTGCTCAGAACCAGGGCGGCCACTCAAAACCAGGGATTTGTGCCAGACTTTAAAAAAAAATCAACTTTTTGTTTGTTTTTAAGCCCCCAGCAACTCACTGACACCACCCAACGTCTCTGGGGACCACCCACAGCCAACCTAGCCTAGCCCAGCCAAGGGAGATGGCAGGCGCGCGCCTGAGCCCAGCACCTTGGCCTCCACGCGGTTCTGTCTGCCAAAGGCTGCGATAAACGAGGTGAAGGGCGCCCGCGCTGGCTGGGAAGAGGGCGTGCGTGCCTGACGGCGGGGCTTTCTGAAACGCACCCCACCAAACGCCTGCCCACATCCAGATCCACCCTGGAAACCCCGGGAGCAGTGGGTGAGGGCCAGGAAAGAAAACCCCCCTACAGAGGGGAGACCTGGCTTCTCTTTGGGAGCTCAGGCTCAGCCTCCAGTGGCTACCGCGCGCGCCGCCAATCTCCTTCCAGCCACCCAGCACCCCTGCCTCCTAGGCAAATAAATCTCTCTCCCGGGGTGCAGACTAAGGGACACCCCCTCACCCTCGTTCCCAGTCCTGGGTCCTCCTCAAACCTGGGCTCCGTGGCCGGCCCCTGCTGGATCTCTGCCTAGAACCCTCTCCAATAGTGCCCCGAACCCACCTGTAGCCTCAAACACCCCCCCCACTTCCTTCCTCCGCGCCCGGGAGTCCGCAGCACCGGCGACCTCCAGCAGGCTGCTCTAGTCTCTCTCTCTCTCCCTCTCTCTCTCTCTCCAGCGCGCCAGGGCTGATTTTTACACCCCCCTCCCAACCCCCCCCCCAAAGTTGGCCGAAGACGCCCGCCCCCACTGGCTGGGCACCCACCCCACCCAACTCGGGCTGGGGGCTCCGTGGGCAGTTGGGAAGCCCCGGGCCGGGAGAAGCACGCCGCAGCCTCCGCAACCTGCAGGGAGATGCCACGCGGGGCCGGGACTCAGTCTACCGGCCAAATGCTGGGGCTCGCGCCGCCAGCACCCCCAAGTCCAGCTTACCGTTCGGGGCCGCCCGGGGAGACGGCGCGTTCCGTCCCGGGAGGAAAGTTTGCGTCCAGCAGAGGAGGCAGCGCGCGGAGGGTGCGGGGTCCACCCGGGGGGAGCC